ATTCCAAGGCTTTTGTTGAAAACCTTTTTTAACACCAAAAGTATACTCATGCTTTGCAGCTAGAGCTCTGATTTACCTTCCAGTTCTCCTAACTTTGATGATCAAAACGAGCAAAGATATGTGCATCAAATACATGTGATGCCAGGTTTGCTCTCAGCAAAAGTCAGTGTTTGGTCAACAGTTATAATGTGGGAATTCTGAAAACCAGTTCATCTCTCAGGCATGGCAGTGAGGTACCTCTGAATGAATTGTTAACTCCACATCCAGGAGGCAGACTGGAAATTCAGAATTATAGGAAGCTCTTGCTTTTTTTTTATAAGTGAATGATGAGAAGGAATATATAAGGGAGGGGCTAAGGAAGCCAAAGGAAAGCGCTAAATGGAAAGCCCATACCAAAGACCTTAAAAAAGGCGACTCTATTAGGTACATCATACACCTGAAACAAAAATGAATCATAAAACTTTCCAGTAAAATACTGCAGGAGCTGGAGTGAGGATTTGTTTGGCTCACCCAAAGGGATGGATCTGTGATCCTTCCTTCTTCTCCTTTTCCTCTCAGCTAATAAAAGAGTGAAGCCAAATAATTGCACAACAAATGGTACTTCAAGTACTTAGAAACACGGCCTGCATGTCTCACCGGTGGGATTCTGCATAAACTGAGGGATTTGTGCACCTCCTGAAATAAAGCTGTGACTTCCAGCAGTCCTAATGGATGTTGAAGGCACAATTTCATGTCTTGTGCATAGGTGTCTCTTCCCTCTATATGGGTGCACACAAGACAATTGATGGTAAAGAGCAGTAAAATGAAAAGGAGTAGACAGAATGGTTATTTTGTTTGAACTTCATCTATTCCAATATGAATGGCATTATAATTACACACAAAAAAAGTATATATAACAGATACTAACCAGTTGCTTCATTTTTTACAACACTGCCCATATACACCCCTGTGCTTCTACACACCTCCTGAAATGTTAAATTAGACACACACACTGAAGATGCATTTCTGACCTGTTAAGAGAAAAAAAAAAAATCCTGCTGCCTTCACCTGCTCAGCTCTGACTCCTGAAAACAAAACTGCCCCAAACCGTCGGCACCAGGGAAGGGCAGGATGCTCACGGCTCCCGATGCCACCTCTCCTCCCTTCCCTGGCCCAGGCCACACTGAGTCTAACGGGGTCAGATGAGCTACTCATGGGCTTTACCTAGAAGAGGGTGTAAAAATATCATCCCCTTTATCTGGGTCCTCTCACACACCGGGATTAGTGTGTGTGATGGCAGGAGTCCAGGGCACACACCTACCCTGCTGGGCAAATAAAGATGAGAGGCCAATGACCGTGATGCTACCTACATTTTTAATATATATATGTATGCATATATAATATATACATATATATATTATATTTAAATCTATGTATGCATATATAATATATACATATATATATTTTCCAACTAGTATAGTCCAAGCTATTTCTGAATTAACTCATCCAGGATGCTGA